CCAGAGGATTAGTGAGGGTACAGAAAATTACCATTTCCTCAGTGCTCAGTAAGTTTGGACAAGTGATAAAATGTACACAGTCATGAAGAAGGAGGCAGGACATTTGTTCATACCAGAGACAGAAAATAGGAATTTATACTTGACTGCGCTGTTAGTCATGTTTTGACTGCACCATTTAGTATAGAAGGTAGCTTGTGGCACTTCTGTGCTGCTTCCAAAAACCTTCACTCTAATGCTGCATTTGTAAATAAAGAAGATTGGTGGTCATTTCAGGCCCTGTGAGACCTGAAGCTTGGCAATTTAAAGCCAGTCCCTGGAATTCAGTTTGCATGCAAAGAGAGGATGTAAACCTGCTGCCTCATTCAAAAGAGCAGGTGCCTGAGCTCAGGTGTATGGGAACAAGCAGCAGTTTCTGTACTTTATTTCTGTATCAAACTTTTGCATCAAATGAAATTATTGTAGTCAGGATATGCCTGGAGGAATCTTCTGTCTAATCTGCCACGAATTGTCAAGCTACTGCATGCAGGGTGGTGTCATAGCATGGAACAATGGCTAAACCTCACCTGCCAGCAAGGAAAGGCAGTGAGAGAACCCTTTGTCGTGGTAATAGCTCAGTAGTCACTGCTGATGGCAGAGCTGTCTCAGAGAGGGCTTTTCCAGCTAGCTAAGGGCTCCTGCAGTAACAAGCAGTAATAACTCCTGAGGGAAGGTGATGTGGAACAGAAATGGCCTTCCAACACCCTCACAGATGTTCTCACCTTCTTGACTGTGAAAGGCTGCTCTGCACTGTACCATCCTGCCAGGCATTTGGCTGTTACCCTGGCCATATCACTGTGTGGTAACATTTTTAGATTGGATGAAAGTGGAGTGCTTTAGATGCATCAGGCACACACAACCAAGTGATGTGGAGCAGTCTACTTTGTGGGAGTTAAGTGCTGCCTCTTGGATATCACCAAACGTAATTCACAAGTAATGAAATTTTAACTCTTGCATTGTTCACATTGCAGAAAAACACTTCAGATCTGTTTGATTTCTTTAGGCTAGAATTAAAATTGTTGCTGCAGTTACAAGCACTATCACTCTTGACACTGCTTTGAAATGGGGAATAGAGTCAGTGTTTAAGGTGATGTTGAACACCTCTGGTTTTTTCAGACAACAGTGTGATGTAGACATGACTGGATTACACTGTTGGTACACCCCTGATGGACTCCCTAACAGAACTCTGCAAATAATTTTATCTTGGACAAAATAAAGGGGCTGACTGCAGGACACCCAGCTTTGTCAGTGTTCTGGGAATTGTACTTGGTCTGTGCATTTGTTAGGGGTCTTTGGAGAGCAAGTAGATTATATGCTTCTGGCAATTTTCACTTGATTAAGGATCTTCACTGTAGATGAGCTCAAATGCTAGCAGAAATAGATGAAAGAACTAGGAGCTTGTAATAGGAGTTAATAATAATCTCAGTGCAGAGGTGTGCTGCTCTCAGGGACTAGGCCAAGCATTAAAACTGGTGCATCAGTCCAGTTGCAAGTCCAGACAGAAGAGGCCATAGCTACAAGAACTCAGTTGTTTGGAAGAGCAGCAGAATAGGCTGGACAGTATTGGAAGAGAGCACAAATGGGAAACATAAAGTGGATCTGAGAAAGGAATGAATTGTGCTAGGCTGAACCTTGAAGTCAGCTGGATAGCTGTTCATGGTCTCAGGGCAGGCACAGGCCTCAAGAACTGAATGAAAGGAGAGAGTGAACAATTCAACCTGTCTTGGCCCATCCATGCAGTGCACTGTCTCTTACCTGTAGGTAAGAGTGCTGAAATATTCTCTAATGTCATTCACACTCCAGAGAGAATAATAGATGAGTGGTACACACAAGATCATCATCTGTCTCTCTGCTCAGTAGCGTTCAGAGAGCTTTTAGGTCAAAACAGAATGTAAATTTATTGAAGATTTTATGGAGATGGTGTTAAGTGACAGAGCAAGGAAGCTTGGCTTTAGCTTCAAAGCTCTGGAGAAGGTCAGTACCAAGAACAATCTGGTACAATAATGAGAGGTTCATAAATGGTTTCCCTGAAGCATTGACCCTTTCACAGGATAAGGATTACAGATACCAGATACCTGTGTCAGCTTGAGAAGGTATTCGCTGCTTTGAAGTGGAAGTGGGACTGGATGCCAAGTCTCTATAATAGAACTTCCTCACAAGGGCTGCAAATTTGGTTATATGTTATTTATAGCAAAATTAGGTTATATAAGGAGATAGGCTGATTAATCCAATGGTCAGGAGGCTGCTAACCCAAGTAACGTGAAAGCAGGTGTTTCAGTATTTTCAGTACCACTGAGGGTTTTACCATGGTAAATTTAATAGGTCCTTGTTTTTTGAGTTTGATTTCTGCCTCTAGCTGTGTTTTTATTCCATGTTACATAAGCATATCTTGTTAATCTGTAAATAAAATGAGTGTGTAATAGAAGTGAAAAATGAGTTTACAGAAAACACGTTTTAATGCAGACCTAAATGATGTCCTTTAATGTCTATTTTTAGCTGGGTATCTAAAAATTTTAGCACTCCTTTCGTAACCAAAAGGCACCCCTCTCATTCTTTTTTATGCAAATTAGGACTCCCACACCATTAAATCATTTTTATTGACTATTGAGCCTGCAAAGAAACGGACTGAACCTTAATATGCTACATTACCATACCATAAAATACAATTTGTAGTTCTTATTTAGATTCTGTGTTGCTGTACTTCCTCTAAATAATTGTTATTACTGAAGAAGATTTACAGGTGCCATAGAAAGAATAAGTTTTGCATGCATTGAAACACCAGCCGTGCATGATTTCACATCTAAACCCACTTGCTCCCAGTCCTGTTCTGAAATTAAACAAGTCACACAATGCTCTTAGTTGCTTTTAGATAGAGCTTTTAGTATGGCAGCATCCAGAAATTCTGCTGACTTCAAACAGTGCCTGGATTTCACCCCTTCTTTTGTGCTGCTAAGTTTGTGCAAACTTTGGGGATCGAGTGTTCATCTTCAGGCTGTGAAGTGTCACTTTGCACATCCCCAGGCTCATTAATGCCACATGCATGGCGTCAGCTGCTGTGCAGCACTTGGCAGGAAAACACTCTGTTCCTTGGAAGTGCAAGGAAAATACTGTCCTCCCACCAATTTTTTGCATAAGGCTGTGCACATATTCAGCTTGACAAGGTACATGGCCTTGCCTTCTGTTATTATAGATAGCTGCAGCCTCTTGGAGCCAAGGGAAGGGATGCATGCAGAGATTTTATGATTAACCAGGAAGAAATGTGTATGAGTCATTCTGAAAGAGTATAACTCTTCTGAAGGAACTCATATTTTGCTCATGTTGACAGCCTTGGAGAATGACATTTATCTTGTACCACAACCTAGGGATGGCTGAGAAATATTCAAGCATTTTCTCGACAGTGTCTCACCCTTTTTCTAGGAGGGTCACCTCAGAAGTGGAAGGGTGTTCAGCCATGCTGTCACTTCACTACAGAATAATTTTTGGTGTGTCAGTAGAAATGCCATTTATGATCCCAGTCTCATGTAAGATAGGCCAAAATGGAGCCTTCCTGTGGTCAGGCAGGGGACTTCCTTTGAGATGCTTCCCTGCTCAGCTCTAGCAAGCTCCACATCACCATGCCAAGTCCCCACAGTCATCTGGGTCTCCCAGGGTTTTGAAATTGAAGAGTTTCAAAGCTATTCAAGAGGAATTTTCACTCTAATTTCCCCCCTCACAGAGACATCCTAAGAATATTCACTGCCTTAAAAAGTCAGGACATTTAAGGTTGTGTATTATTTCAGAATTGTTATTCTAAATCTGGAGCTTGAATTAGTAATTTTGAATTGGACTCTTGAACTGTCAATACTTACTGCATGACATCAGTTAAAAAAATATAAGAGAGAGACACTAAGGTTTTGTAGTGAGAGCATGTAGAACACAGGTTATGGACCAAAGAGCACTGCCTGCCCTATGAAGAGAATTACTTTATCTACATACGTGCTTATGTATGTGTGTATATGTATATACATAAAACCAGTTTCCCTTTTCAATTACATATGGCAGTGAAAACTGAGCATCACTTTTTGACTGTTTGAAAGAATTAGAATTTTTCAGTTGGAAGGGACCTACAACAATTATCCAGTCCAACACCACAATCATCTAGGCCAAATCCTGAGAAATGTTAAAGTTGAACCATGAGATACGTTATGAAATTTATGATGAGACATTATTTTATTATCAAGTTGACATTCAAATGTATAAATACGCCTTGCATATTTTTTTTCTAAGCAAACCACTAAGCTGGTTGCTGATAGTTCAAGAAAGTGAGCAGTCTCTTCCAAGAGCTGTATTTTGTTTTTCTGTAATGTATGAGGATGTAAATGGGTGAATACACAATATAAATAAGTCTATAATATAAGATTTCAAGTTTCTGAACTATTAAGAGACAGCTATCTCATAAACTTGCCAAATAAGAAAAGAAAACCACTTTTTTTTCACCTTTTTAAATGGGAAAGTACTCTCCTAAGTTATCCAGTGTCCAGCTCAGACATGTCCTATTACTCTGACATTTTTTATGTTCTCAGTAGACAATGATGGCTTATTCTGTTCTTTTTTTCTCCCCCAGACTATTTGGAAATACCTGTGATGACTCCAAGTAGTCCTGCTTGCTTAGCGCTCAGTTCAGCACTATTTACCTTCCCAGGGGAGGAATCCTTGAGGCCTTTGTCAGGACACCACTCAAAGGTGTCCATGAACATCTGTATAGATCCCTTAGCATTAGGAAAAGATACATTCAGTGAATCCAGTAATGATAATAAGCACTAACCATAGTACTAAGCATTGTGCAGGATCATGGCCTCGTGTTTTAATATGCTTAAGTCAGATGATATATAATTAATATGAAGAAAGGTCTCTGCTTCATTTCATCTAATGGCAGGGTGTTCTTTGCTTTATTTTTATGGCTTGGTGTTTTGTTTTTCCTTCAGCTGAACTCTTCCTGGAACAGCAGCATCTCAAAGAAGCAGGCTTTTGTACCCAGGAGGCAGCTAGTCTTTTCCCCACATCTCATGCTGTACTGTACATGCGTGGGAGGCTTGCAGAGATGAAAGGCAATTTGGAGGAGGCTAAGCAATTGTATGATGAAGCACTCACAGTGAATCCAGCTGGAGTGGAAATTATGCACAGCCTGGTGAGTTTGCAGGGGCTCAGCTCCATTATAATATTTGTGTTCCTGATTAACTGTAATAAGAGGGGGGGAGGGCTCATGCTTGCTCTGGATGCCATTGTCTTCCTAATCCTGAAAGCAAGTGACCATTCCAAGAATAAATTGGGTAGTTTGAACCTCTGTTTTAAGACTGGATTGAATTTTGTAAACTAATTAGGACTTGTGTCAAAAGTAAATACATTAATTGACGAAGGCTGACGCTTTTGGAAATCAGTTCACTGCTTTGTCTTTGCCGTTTTTCCTACTAAATGTTATGCATTTTAAATAAGCAGTACACTGATGTTTGAAAGATCAGAACTAAATAACTATAGGTAGATAGATACAGGGTTTGTAAAACTTGGGCTAGTTTCTTTTGTCTGCTAAAATCAGGATAAACTAGGAGTTTACAATAAAATTAATCTGTTACTGTCATAAACTGCAGCTTATTTCCAGCCTTGTGTACAGGCAGGGACTCCACACTTGTGGGGATTTTTTGGTAACACTCCCACCCAGCAAGCAGTCTTCTTTGGCACCAAGCCCAAAACAAACTGTATTCCAGACACTGGGCCTAAAGCTTAATAACAATAATAATTATACAGGGGGCTTTGTGGAAGACCAAAACCCAGTTCTCTTGTGAATCAGAGCAGCTAAACCATTTCATCAATGGTGTGTCTTATTAACTGTAGCCCATACCAGGCTTCTCAGTAATTTTAGAAGTTTGTCTTGACTAACTTAATTTTTACAGGAATTCTATATCCAGTGTCTAGTGTCTTTGCTAGCATATTTGTATCTCCTGGCATAAATTTGGTCCTGATGAGGTTTGCTGGCAACTCCAAAATTGAAGGGGTATCAGTGTACAAGAAATCAAATGTTAAGCGAAGTTGCAATTAGCAAAAATAGTAGAACCTACAGGCAAAGGGCAAGATATTTGGTAATAATTAATGTTCAGTACAAAAATAGCAAATTAATAGCTGGTGCATGTCAGGATAATGTTACAAGACTGCTGTACACAATAATATTACTTTGTTGTGATACAGCCTTGACAAATTCACTCAGTAAAAACCTAGCTAGAGAGAATGGTGTTCTTCGCTCTGTCCTAATTTAGGAGAAGTTGCTGATACCAGAGAAGCCATCAAATTAGATGCCAACATGATACTAATAGCTCTCATTTTTGTCTTATGTTATGGACATCACCACATTCTGAGTCTTCACATTTCAGTTGCTTGCAGTTTTCTGTAACTGTAGTAACTTGGAATAAAAGTTTCCAAGGTGCACGTCTCCGATGTTCTGGCCCAGTTTACTTCAGAAAATGTCATTCCATTCTGAAAGGGAGGCTGAAGAAGAGACCTTAAAAGCTTCTGCAGTATCTTCTTTACCTCCAGTGCTGGGGGCAGTTTGGTGTGCCACAGTGTAAGAAGGGAATTAAACTGTTGGAGAGTTGCCCAAAGGAGGACAAGCAAAACAGGGAAGGATATTGAAGGGATGCCATATGAGGAGCAGCTGAGGTCACTTGGTCTGGAGAAAAGGAGACTGAGGGGAGACCTCACTGCAGTTAGAGCTTCCTCATGAGGGGAAGAGGAGGGGCAGGCACTGATCTCTCTCTGTGGTGACAGCGACAGGACCTGAGGGAATGGTCTGAAGTTGTGTCAAGGAGGGTTAGGTTGGATATAAGGTAAAGATTCTTTACCCAGAGGATGGTTGGGCACTGGAATGGCATCCCAGAGAAGTGGTACAGCACTGAGCCTGCCAGAGTTCAGGAAGCAAGAGCACAATGCTCTCAAGACACATGGTGGGACTCTTGGGGCTTGTTTGAGACCAAGAGACAGTCTCTATGATGCTTGTGGGTCTCTTCCAGTTCAGAGTACTCTGTGATGATGTTTTAGTCAAGGGATGGATGTAAAATTCAGAAGAGCTGAAAAAGACAGTAAGATGAGAAATTTGGGGGCAGAGACACAGTTTATAAGCAAGTAGGGAAGAGGAAAGAAACTGAAAAAGCAGGAGAAATACAGATAGAAAATAGGGTAAGATAGATAATGCCAGATAAGATTGGACATGGATGGAGGGGTGAGCATGCTAGAAAGAGTGAACTAAAGGGGTCAATCTTAGGAGAATGACAAAGGAGCAGGAACCTGTAAGAGCACTTCCTTTCCATGTCCTTCAATCTCCTTAAAATTCTGAATCTTCCCATCCTGATGCCAGCAAATATCACTTGAAAATCACTTGTTTAAGATGTACCTCACCTCCTATGACTTGGCCCTGCTGGCAGACTGTGTTCACACCTGTTAACTAAGACAGCAAAGGTCTGGTCTATCCCTGCTGATATGAATCACGCAGTAGTTATATCGTACCACATAATGGCATTCCTTTATGTGCTTTTCCAAAAGCTAGGAAATTGCACATAACAAGTTAGAAGCATCTGATGAGCAGTATAGAAAAGTCTGTAAGGAAATTAATCATTCTGCCTTCAGAATAGAGCTGGAATAATGTTCAGTAAACAAGGCTTTTAGGGCTATACATCAAATAAAAAGGGTGAAAATAAAATATTGAATGGCTGCTAGCTAAATGATTTTGTCCTGTGTACTGAATGAGACACTGTCCCCATGGAGAACTTAAGACTGGGTTTATGCAATTGAGGATGTAATGTGACAAGTGGTAAATTCTGAATCTCCTCGAGGCCATCAGAAGAAAACTGAATGCCTTTCTGAAGTGTATGTATCAGCCAAGTACTAGCTGTACTTTTATTAAAAATACGAGTTCTTGAGTACAGTATGTTCAGTCCCCTACCAGAGAAAAGTATATGTCTTGGATTATGCAAGAGGGCAAACTAGATTATGAGCTAGTTCCAAGGGGTTTGAAATAATGCAAGACATGCACAGATGTAATTGAATTCACACATGTTTCTATGCTGGTCCCTCCAGTTTGAATACATTGTTTTCCCACTCCAGTAGTACTGTTGTGGATATGTATTAATTTAGAAAAAGAGCCTCCGGTTGTGAGAATTGCTGTTTGACTTGGTACAGTTGCCATCCAGCTGACCTAGTCCACTTTAAGGGGAAACTCTGCTGTAGACAGTGCCAAGCCTCCCTGGTGTATCAGCATCAATTAGCAAAGTAGTCATGTCTCTTCCCCTGGGCTCTTGGAACTGGGTTGTCAAAGCTATATTTGGAAAATTCCAACCTGAAGAGTGTTGCTGGCTTTAAATGAAGGGCACAGATCTAGCAATGAACGAGTCCATTGGGTGTCAGTAACTTCACCTTTACCCAGGGTAGAGTTGCCACCATAATACACACGAGCTGTCTCTGTGCAGCTGAAAATGGCTGTGTTTTGCTGTCACTGTTAACAATAGCAGTCAAATCAGTGTGCTTTCCTTATAAAGCACCCTGCAGCAGGGCAGAGCAGCACCATACAGCAGCACTGCAGTGCCAAGCCTGTCCCCAGGGGTGGATGCCACACTCTGCTTCATCCCAGGGACCTCTGGCACTTCTTGTCCAGTGCTGTGGTTGGGAAGCCACAGGCACTTTGAAAATACCACACAGCTGTGCTGCTTCCTGTAACACTTGAAGTTTCTGAGTGATGTCACAGGATCCTTAAGCCTGTATCAGGAATCCACCATTTGCCTTTACAGAGGAAGTACTACTGGCCAATACCTAATCTGAGGAAATATATTTGTTGAGGAATTTTGTTTTCATTTAAAAAAGACGCACAGAATCAGTTTTTGGGGCTATTTGAAGCATAATCCTGAGGTGAGCAGCTGCTCCTTTGGTTGGATAGCTGTTTGCTGCCAGAAACAATTAACTTGGGTTGGCCCCTAAAAATTGTACATCCTGTGAGACCATAGTTTCTTTAATAAATGCAACTTGCTAGAGTTCTTTTCCACATTGCTCCTGATGCCATCTCAAAAATTTCTGTCATCCCTGCCTTTACTAGAACAGTTCTGTTTCTTTCTTCCCTTTCACAAGCTCCTTCTGAGGCCTGCTTGCAAGGGCCATAGAGCATTTCTCCTTCCTGGGGGCTGATGGAGTTTCTACTTTCTATCTTTGCTGGTCTGGAAATAAGGACTTCGTCCATATATCCACTGAGATCGGTGACAACACATTTCTACAACCAAATAACTATGGCTTTCTTCAGTATGTACCAAATTTGGTTATATAACATCATGCAATACATAGTTTTGGGATGGTGATAACAAAACTGACATGTGCCCAACCAAGTCAGAAAATATAAGCTGGGGCAGATGACACCTCCTTTTAAAGCAATACACAAATCCACCTACCTGTATGTAACTAGAGAAAGACACTGAAATTTATTAGTTCCCAGCCATCGTGCTTTCAGTTCCATTCTCACTTTTGATTCAGAGGAGAAAATCAATGCCAGCATGTTGGATTTGAGTCCGAAAGCTCTATATGTGATATTGCAAGTTAAACTAAACATGTGCTGAGATATTTGGAAGGCTCCTGCCCAGCATGCATCTCACATAGCACTTTGTCAAGTCACAGCAACTCTCACCACGTTTTAGTTCAGGGAAGAAGAGAAAGTATTGTCAATTTAAAAAGGAAGGAAATAGGCACCCTCATCTCCATCACTATGCCAGATTTAATGAAAAAAATAAAAAATACCATCAAAACAAAGCAAAAAATTTGCTTGACTCATACTTGGATATTACTGATTGCAGTGAAAAACTGTAATGATTTATTTCTCTTGAAGGCTGGGGCAAGGGCAATAAGGTTGGTATCAGAATGCTGTCTGCACTACCTCATCCCTATCCTTGATAGCAAAACAAAGTTGCTATATATTGGGTTTTGTTCATAATGTGTTTTGTTGTGACCACGTGAATGTGTGAAAAACACAATCTTGTGATCACATTTTACTTGCTCCATAATGAAATCAAAGAGAATATACAGCTAACAGAGATTGTGCTAATTGTGAGAGTTGTTCTTTGGCTGTCATCTGCAACACGAAACGTAAGATTGGCAACCATGCAGGAA